TATATATATATTATCCTCATGGAATCGTGCGTAACATTTGGCAAGAAGCTAGTGTATCTGAGGGGTTTTCCCTGATTTGGATTATGACAACCTCTTTGATGAAATCTACTATATCTATATATATGCTCCGATTATGGAGGGAACTTGCTAGTTGAGAGCTTGAGTAAATTGTAAAGAGGAAAATTATACTACGTATTTTATACTTGTTTGTTTCATATATTTACTCTGTCTCATATTCATTCACTTCTTTATTGTACCTGATATTATTGGATCACTAGTAAGTGTCGAAGTCGACCTCTCGTCACTACTTCTTCAGGGTTAGGCGGGATACTTACTGGGTATACGTTGATTTACGTACTCATACTACACTTGCTGCATATTTTTGTGCAGGTGCATATATAACTAGCAGCCTAGCAGGCGCAGGCGTGTGGTTAAATACGGAGACTTAGGTGAGTTGCATTCCCATCTACGAGTCGCAGCCATCATAGTCCCCTTCAAAGTTACTTACGTATTTTCATGTCTAATTTGTATTCTTGACAGGTGTTATATATTATTTTATCTTCCTAGTTGATGCTCGTGTACTTGTGACACCGAGTTTTGGGGTGATTATGGGTTGTCTTGTATTGAAATTGTTGAAAATATTATTACTTACTTTGTAAACTCCATCTTTTGCTATTTAATTGAAGGAAAATATGATTTCAAAAGTAACAAAATGAGAACCTAACTAAGTATTTATTGTTGGCTTGCCTGACAGTGGAATCCGGTGCCATCACGACCTTTATGGATTTTGGGTCGTGACACAGGTAACTTTTCTCACTGGGACTAGAAGATACATTAGACATAGTTCTAATGAAATGGAAGGTATTCAAAGTAACGAGGAGTTAAAAACATCGTGGATCTCTAGGGCAGGGAAATAATATGCACAACAATGGAATAAGAAGAAGAAGGCACAAGGTTTCGATATGGGAAATTTGTAAAACTTGAGTATGTGTCCTCGCATCCCTATTTCTAAGAGCCCAGGCATCGAAACCGAGAAATCAGGTCATTATTATTTAGCACTACTATCGAAGTGACATATCTAACCAACAGATGCACGCGAAAACGACGCAGCGCCATCAGGAAAATGCACCATAATGATGTATGACGTCACTTTGATCCAGAAACGACGTAACCCCAAAAGTTGCGGCTCATGAAAGGCCATGTTACACACTCGTCCAATCATCTCAACCACGACGAACAGAATATGCTCATCAAGCTCGTCTAAGGCCGACCTCAATAAGCGGAGGGACTAACTATATAGGTCAAAATCTGCCCTAGAATATTTAAGACAAGATAACACTAAAGGAAGAGTCTTCAAGCCGTTATCAGTCGAGGTCAACCAGGAATCAGCGATGTTCGAGGCCGATATGTCAACAAGGTCGAGGTCGAGCACAGTTGGCAAAGTTGTAACGGTCAGTTTTCGAAATAGGATATTAAAGAGAATATTATAGTGATATTCTATGCACTTGTACTATTAGGGTTTGTTAAGAAAATGTCTCATATACATAGAAAATGAGACAATGGGGAAGGCACGTGAGCTTCATTTGACAAGAACAAACTTTTGATTGAAGATTCTTTCTCTCTGTTATAAAGATACAAATGCTAACTTTTCATCTAGATTCTTGTTCGTATTATCCCACACCCTTCTATCAGATCCGAGAATAATTAGAATATTTTGGGATTTGTCTGTCACTCATTATTGTTAGTAGGGATAATCAACTAGTTCATACTTTATTGGGTGAATCACTCCTTCTATTTACTTAAATGTTATTTATTGTTATTTATTGCTAGTTGTTGCTACGTTATTGCTCATACTTTTTGGAATAGTTAATGCATATTATTGTCAATCTTCGACTAAATCTGACCAATATTAGCCACATTTTCGGAAATAACATCTAGAGATATTATTATTAACTAAGTTTAACCCATTATTATATAAATTCAACTGTTTAAACCGAAAGTTACATTTTTTGGTCAAACATGTAGTATATCTCTCTTTACCAGGCATGGGTAAGATCTGATACACATTACTATTCCCCATATCCCACTTGTGAAATTGATTTGTATTTGTTTTTTTATTTGTTACTGTTAGTATGTACAGTAGTATGAAACAACTCTTTAAAAGCAGTCAGCGGTGTAAATTTCCCTTGTAAAGAAAGTACCTACTCTTATTTGGTTTAAACGTTAGATATGGAACTTTTTATGTACGATAATGTTGGAATATTTAGTTGCCACGCAGTGAGACCGCTAGATCATCTAAGTAAAAGTCTGCTCCATTTCTCTTTTTTCTTCTGTTTTTCTCTTTTCATAATGCCTCCATTAATTTTCTTTTTCTTTTCTTCTTTTTTTGGGAAAGGGGAGTGGCCGCGGGGGGTTGGAGGTGCAAGTAGGTTAATAGTTGATTACTACTCCCTCTATTTTAATTTATTTGAATTTTTTTTTTAGTCCGTGCAAAAAAAATAATTTATTTTCTTATTTGAAAATAATTTACCTTTATACAATGATTTATAGTCACACAAAATATATGTGTCTTATTTTACACCACAAGTTTATTTTTTTATTTTTTTTAAACTCCGTACCCAGTCAAATGAGTTATCATAAATTAAAACGGCAGGAATAATAAATTTGCTGCATTGGCAGCTGCGTTTAGCAAATTAGCTAGGAAGTGTTAATTCTGGGGTTAAAGATTAAAGCACGAGAATTGTGATTAACTAGGCAATTTATAAACTAACGACAGAGAAATGTAGTCTTGCAATAGTTTTGTCTGAATATATTGGATTAGAACAACTTCCTCGAGACTTGCAAATATCGATTAATAATTGGACTAAACTTTAATGATAAATATTCTTGATTGGTCTTCTTTCTTTACTCGAAAAAAAGCCTCTACACATCTTATCAGATAAAGTAAATTTTAAAAAGTAGTATATTTTAGAGCCACTTGATAAAAGCTGAATGTGCATGTGCCAAAACTAATGTACGACTAATACTGTTTAAGTTCGCAGGCATTTTGTACCCTTCGAGGAAAATTATTACTGTCATTGTCCTTTATAATGAGCCAACTGTTGAACCAATATAATTTCCTTCCTCCATCTCACTCTCTCTCAAACGCACAATTTAAGTAGTTGCTGCATCAATGGCAGAGGCAGGAAATCTATATCCTTACCCATCAACGCTTAATATAGCCAATTTTGTAACAGTTAAACTGTCTGATTCTTCCAATTATAGTATATGGAAAGCACAAATGCTTTGTCTTCTCGAATGTCAAGAATTAGTTGGTTTCATAGATGGAACTTACCAACCACCCTTATTAGATAATTACTTGAAGTGGAAAAGAAGTGACCGGCTTGTTAAAGGATGGATTCTTGGCTCTCTTACTGAAGATATGCTTCAGTTTGTGGTTGAGAAAGTCAGTACTGCCAGAGATGTTTGGTTGGAGTTGAAGGATATTTGCTGCCTTATATCGTTAGACAATTTTGAAGGTGAGGTTTCTTTTTCTTTATGAACTCTTTTACATAGATTAACTACTTGTGTCAACAATGAACTTAGGCACGTACAACTAACATAACTTTACTTAAGAAAAAAAGACATTTCATAGTGTCGTAGTGTTAGACAAATATACTTACTGTATATTCCAAAATCAGAAACATTCATTAACGATAAGAATGTGACATTCTTATATACAAAAAAAAAAAAAAAATTGG